CTAAATCTGTTTACTTCTGAGTTTTCAAGATCACTGCGATTACAAATCTTATGTCAGTTTTTTAAAATTCAAGATGGCGGATTCAATATCGCGGATGACATTTATAAATAATCTTATTACCCTCAAACTTTTTACTTAGGGGTTTTCGGGGTCGCTGATTTGGAATCTGACATTATATTCGTAAACAGCGACGCCGAAAACCTCTGAGTGACGAGTTTCAAGTGAAATAAACGACATTAAAATTTTTCGACCACCACATTGGATCCGCCATTTCGAATTTTTTTAAAATGGCGTCAGATTCACAATTAGCGACCCTGAAAACCCCCAAGTAAGAAGTTTCAGGGTAATTAGATAAGTCTTTAGAAATTAATCGCCATATTGGATCCGCCATCTTAAAGTTTAAAAAACTGACATAAGATTTGTAATCAGCGACCTTGAAAACCCACAAGAAAAAAGTTTTAGGTTAATTGAAACACATATTGGATCCCCCATTTTAAATTTTCGAAAACTGACATCATATTCGTAATCAGCGCTCCCAAAAAACCCCCGAGTAGAGAGTTTTAAGTAAATCCAATAAATTTTTACAAAACTTGTCCGCCACATTGGATCCGCCATTTTGAATTTTTGAAAACTAGCATCATATTCGGAAATAGCGACCCTAAAAACCCCCGAGTAGCGAGTTTCAAGTAAATTGAATTAATTTTTACAAAACTCGTTCGCCATATTGGATACGCCATTTTAAATTTTTGAAAACTAGCATCATATTCGTAAACAGCGACCCCAAGAACCTCCAAGTAACGAGTTTCAGGCGATTTCAGTGACTTGAAAAAAATTTGGAGCACTATGTTTCATATGTGAGTTATTTTATCAGTTGTAGCCGCCATATTGGCGTCAGCCATTTTGAAAAAAAATTTGTCGCCTCAGGGTTTTGTAGCTGAGGGTCCAAGGACGTGATATTTTGAGTTTTTGAGAGTATCTACACTACCAGCGGAAATTGTGCGACCGCTATCATCTCGAGCTAATAAAAAACACACCCGCACAGAAAGAGTGATAACTGCGTTAAAAATGAAGCTAGATGCTTTTTTAAATTGCATTGGAAAGCTTATTAAATTTCCAAAAAAATGCTACTATTTTAATCGTCATTTCCGTGGTTAGTTCGTTTACCTTTTTGTTTGTTTATATTTCACAACTTGGACATGCTCTTTAATTATTTTCTTAGGTTCACAAAGAAATTGTACACTATTTTATACCCGATAGTATAAAACTCCCCGGAAAGTTTTTTACTTAGGGGAAAAATGTATTTTTGGTATTTCACTTCCCGATTATTAGGGTCATTAAATTTAAATGAATATATATTCCATGCTGAAAATTCAATACTCCTACTAATTGCAGAATAAAATAACAAATGAACATTACTATACGTATATTGGAAATTCATCAGAGGAATGTCATAAAATTGAGTAAACATTTACCTTACAGAAATTCTGCATGTATGAAAAGACAATTGTGGTAGAAAATCTAAAAAGAAAATAATTTGTCAATAATTTATCTTTTGAAATTATTGTATTAAAATTATTTAAACAAATTAAAATTATTTGAATAATTATTAATTAATTGATAAATTTTTTAAAATACTTTATATAGGTAAACGTATTATTAATAAAAAAAACCATTTTTTAGGGTAATTTTACGAAAATTGGTAATTAAATAACAATTAATTATTTAAAACATTAATAAATGTTTTAGAGAAAACTTAATTTATCTTGGAGTTCACAATTGTTTCTCAAAGTGCAAAAACACGTTAAATTATAAATATCCAAAAAAGGGTAACTTTTGGGTAGTGCTGTAGAGGGTTGTGGTGGTCAAAATTTGAAGTTATATAGGTCAAATTACTCGGCAGAGAGCCCTCTATAAATCCTAGAAATTTATTGTTAACTTTTTTAAAACCCTCGCGAATGATTTTGATTTTTCGAAAATTGAAATTTTTCCCCTTCATTTTACATGGGAAATTTGAAAAAAATTCGTATTAATTTTTTTTGGCATTGGAACAAATTGTGGGGGTTTCTTGCTTTTTTCCACGAAAACTGTACAATGTCGTAGTGCATTTTACATTTATCCAAACTTTTGATAGGCTGCTACTGACTATTTTGGTGGAACGCTAAATGACTGACTATACTTTTGGGTTGCTGCGGTACAATTTTGGGCGCGTGACAGTCCAAAAGTTGTTCAGCTGCAAACCAAAGGCGGCATCCCTACTACTTTGGTGAGCTGCTCACCAACATTTTGGACAGTCACGCACCCAATATTGTAGCGCAGCGCACCAAAACTATAGTGGAGCTGCTTTCACATACGTTGTTCAGCTACAATCCCAAAGGTCTCTCAGTGTAAGAGAGGAAGAAGTCTACGAAGCAGGGACAATTATTAAACGTTTGTGTTGAGTTTGTATTGTGTTCTGAACACAAAACACATTTCAATATTAGAATTCTGTTGTGTTCGGAACACAACACATTTTAATATTAGAAATTGTGTTGTGTTCAGAACATAACACACTACCAATGATAAAATGTGTTTGTGTTCGAAAAAAACATATTTGCTTACTTACATGTGGCAAGCTTAATTTACTAATGAAATCTGTTTGTGCTCTGAACACAACACAATTTCTAATATTAAAATGTGTTTTGTTCTGAAGACAAATACACTTACAATGAAGAAATGTTTTCGTGTTCGAACACAAACACGAACACACGCTTGATATTTGTATTGGAAAGAGTCCCTGCTTTGAAGTCATCTGGACTCATAAATTGTGGAAAATCTTTCTTAAAGTCTTTGATTTGTCTTTCAACAGCGGCACTTGTAGAAGGGATTTTACCAAAACTAAACTTATCTCTAAATATGCAAGACCGTAAAGGAAATGATTCCATATCTTTCATTAGTCGATTCGCTAATTGTGAAAGATAATAAGCATTATCATGATCCCCGTGTTCACAGCTTCCTGATCACATTGTGTCATTTTTTTTAGAACCGACAAGTTGCCCATCTGTTTTGCAATGCGCTACTATAAGAATAGCCTTTAATATTTTTTCAGTATCTTCCATGTTCCTGCACTGAATCAACTGTCCGATTGATGCTTTATAAAAAACCGTGGTAGTTTGTTTTTTTTACAGTTTTTTCATCAATGATAAAAATTAGGCAAATGCTTGAATAGCTGCTGTCAAAATTGCTGTTGCTCCAACTGTTGTGAACTCCTTTGGATAGGTGCTCCAAGTCGAGTCCATTCCTTTAAAAAGGACCGTATTACATTAGTATTATGCACTTCACTGATCATTGCTGCGACAATGTACTGCCCAACAAGGTCATTGTTAACAAACAAGTAAAGAAAAATCGGTGTTTTCTGTTTCTCCTTTAACCCATTCAAAAGATTTCTCTACGCTATGAATGCGTTTATCCAAGTTGTAAATTTCATAATTTCTAAATCGTTCCTAGGATCTTGATGTAAATGTTAAGAGTTTAACGCCTCCGTTTTGACTATTCTTAAAACTGAAGCTTTAGGTAAATTACCTGGTTCTCTGTCTCCAGGTTTCATTATCCTTGTAACCTTTTCAGTTCTGTACAACTGTGCTCCCTTTTGTTGTATCTTCTGTGCGACTTCTTACCTTACTGCATGGAGAGAAATATTTACTATAACTTTTTTAAAATTGCATTTATTTGTGTTTTTTTAAAAAGTAAATATTCCACAATGAAACAGGTTTCATGATGTTACGTAAGGTAATGATCTCTAAAATTGAAACCACAAACATTTTTGGTTGCACTATATATTTCTTCGGATGTCCAGTTTTCTCATCTGCTAGATTATAATCTAAAGCAAGTTTTTGACTTCTTATGGTTTTTTAAGTTATTAACTATTTTCTGTTTATATTCTCTTCCTTTTTAAAATGCACGCAATCCATTCACTTTCGCAAACGTTCGCTTTTCTTCCAACAGTGGAAGTCATATTTAGAGATGCACGACGAGACTCTGTCCTTTCATAAAAGAAAAGAGATGAAAATATAACATTAAATTGTTTTCATTGTTTTTCTCGCGAGATTCACGGTTTTTCGAGACGAGACTCGCTCGAAATGCATCTCATATTATTAATAGAATATTATTCAATGTTAACAATGAAAGTTTAGTGATCCCTTATGTCAAAAATCAATTAGCAATAAATCATAACCTCTAAATTAAGATCAACAGACATATTATAATGTTCAACATAACAAAATTATGCTGTATAAAGGGTGTTTCATCCCAAGCATAAACAAATAGATTTTAATTAAAATTAACAATTTGATTCATAGGTAAATTAAAATAAAGATATACCTGTTTATTGTTCTTAATTTTCAATTGTTTAACAATAATTTTTTAAACAAATTAATAAAAATTTAGCAATTTTTAAAAACTGTTAACGCCAATCGATTTTGTATGGAAAATTAAAAAAGTTTTGTATGGGTCATAATTTTCTCGAAGTCATATTTTGTTTATAAAATTGTTATAAACAAATTATGTTGAATGAACAGTGTTTCATCATAAGCATAAGCAAATAAATTTTAAATAAAATTAACAATTGGATTCAAAGTCAAATTTAAAAAATAGATAAACCTGTCTTTTTGTTCTCAATTTTCAATTGTTTAAATACCCAAATTAATAAAAATTTTTAAATATTTAAAAACTGTTAACGCCAATCGATTCTGTGTTGAAAATTAAGAAAGTTTTGTATGGGTCATTTTTTTCTGCAAGTCGTATTTTACTTATAAAATTGTTACAAACAAATTGTATAATAAATTATTAAAAATTGGTAAAGGTTTAAGTTATGATTACGTCAGCTTAACGTTAAGCTAGCGTAATCACGGCTTTTTTTTTCAATGAAGATCATTAAATTCGTCAATATGGCATTAAATTATTTATCACAAATTAAATACTATTAAAAACACAAATTTATAATGACAATTTAAATATTTTTGCAGATCATTACAGAATCAATCAGGAAAGAGGAAATTTTTACTGGATAGAAAAGCATTCTCTGGAGATGAGTGTGTAAGTTTTTTTTCTAAATATAAGATTTTTATGACATATTTCAGAACAAGAGATGTGTCCTTTATTATTATAGAATATGTACATATTAATTTTTCGAATAGCTTGCTTCTTCACCGAGTTGCTCTAATTTACAGAAACCAAAATATTCCTAATATAATCTAATAAATAATAATCGAACTCGGACTGAATTTCCCATACCATTTCAAAATCCTTTTCTTCTCCAGAAGTCCAGTATATCTTCTATCGATTTATCTGATCCTAACCCACGCTGGGCATTCAGATAATTCAATAGTCCATGACCCGTGAGCAGACGAATTACGGTTCTAACTCGGATCTTATCGAGTTTTAGAAGACTGCTCGCTCGCCTCCTGTTAAGTAGGGAACGATGGGGCAAGGATAGTTAGTAGCTGTAATGCATAACCGGTTAAATGTGTCTTAACAATAGATGGCAGTGTAAATTGGAAGTCAATGTACTACCATTTGCAGAAGTTATAAGTTAGACTTAAAAGGGTCTCACCTAACTATCCTTGCCCTATTCTCCCCTTCTAGCCATAACAGAAACTTAGGTTGCCTTCCGATTTAGCCCCATGGGGTGTCCGGTTTAGCCCGTTTTTGACGTAGTCACCTTCGATGCAATATATCACCAAAGCTACTGTAGTTTTTTAAAATCGAACCATTGCGATTTGTAGGTGAGGGAACAAGCTTTAAAACGGTATAATAAAGTAAAGATTTCCTTCTTTCTTGTGGCCTAATGGCTTTAAACTTTATTTAAATTACATCAACATTTTGACGCGTTTCGATGCAGTATTCTGCATCCTCATCAGAAAAAAACGGAACAAAACGTTCTTTTTTTTTAAACGGTATATTACTCGTTGGCAAAAAATATTTTTTTGTATTGAGTTTTCTGGTAAAGGACCAAATCCGTCCGGTTTAGCCCTAGTCTCCCCTACCATACTTCATTCCCAAATGGAAAATCCTTCTTCCAGTTCATTCACCATATTCTGCTCATAGAGACTTTTCGCGTAGCATGCTGACGTCTCAAAATACCGCCACCTCTGAGGCTTTATTTGGTTCGAATAAACCACTTTGAGTGCTTGTTTCTAGTGTTGCCGATTTCCTTGGTCCCTACTGGGTCCCACATCATAGTCATGATTTAATCTCTCTCTTTAAAGTCCGGGAAGTTTACTTCAATCAGATACTCTAGACACTCCTTTTTGTCTTTAGAAAATTGCCCATTTGACAATTAACTCTTTCGATTCCCTCGCAAAAACTTCTCCAACTGATACTCCGTGCATTCTCTACCTCCTTCTAATAAGAATTACCAGCAGCATGATATGTATCCTACACTTGCTGGTTCTTACGTTTTGTTGGCTTTGTTAAAAAGCATTTCGTATTACGACATTAAATGTCGAACACTTCCTTACTTTTAATAGTAACGAAAGTTAGTTCATCACTCTGATTTAGAAATCCTGATTTTGTGCGTTTCCTGATTTAGGTGGTGCGGATTCATCTCCCGACCCTGGAAAATAGGCGGAAGCTACTACTACTTCCCTATATTTCCGTTCATTTCCAAGTATTTAACTCTAAAAACAGCGTAGTCGATTATTTTGAATTTTGGAAAGCTGACATCAGATTCGTAAAGGGGCTCTTGATTATTATTTTCCTTAATTAGAAAGGGTTAAATGTACAACATAATTTTTTAACTTAACAAAAAGTTTTTTGTATTATTCATCTGCCTGACAAAACTTCTATGAATCCGTTTAATAAATTAGATTAGTGATTAGATAGATAGTAGTGTGCGTATCTGTTGTTAAGTTTGTTTATTTTTATTGAATATGGTGTTTCAAATTATATATTTTTAAAGTTGTTTTGTTTGTTTCAGAATGACAACAGAAGTACAAATTTTATTCATTTATGTAGTAAAAATATCAGGCGTAAGTAATTTTATCTTTTGAACAAATCTGAAGAAAATTGTATTACGACAAATATAGCTAGAAGAAATATGTAAAGTTAAATAACGCATTTCATTTTATATATGTTTATTTTAAAACGGTTTTTTATTTTACCTAAATATTTTGAACAAGTTATTTTCTTTTTGCTATCAACATTTACAAATCATCAATATTTAAAATTAACTAGAAAAAAATTTTAAATTATAACACATTTATAATATACAGAAAGATTGTACATAATTTTTACATTTTTGTAATAAATTTATTTTTATTTTTAAACATGCTAATTTTAAATTGAATTGTATTTTGCTCCTCTTCCTCCAAGATCAAATGGTAGTCCCTTTTCCAGCGCCAGAACAGCTACATGTATAAAGCTAAAATAAAAGCGAACAGCACCACCAAAGGTCAACGCCGCGCCGGCCGCCTAGGCCTGTCGACATTTCCCTTTCTATTTCTATGTGTTATAGTGACTACATGGTTCTCGGAAAAAATGGATAAAAATAAAAAACGTGTTCGTGATTCTTTTTTCTAAGAGAGTTCGGATTAATTTCTCCGAAAAAAATTAAACGCCTCTCTAAAGTTGTGATTAAATCGTGTCTTTTCTCCTAAATAGAAAAATTCATTTTTTCATAGGACGTCACTCTTGGCACACGCAATTTAAGATTTAAAAGATAATTATTGTTGCGTTGGTACACTGAGAAAAAAGAGGGCGCGTTACAGTACATTTTCGATTCATGTTGCGCGACTCAACCCTGAATTCTTCTACACACTTTCTGGGGCGTGCAGCACGCCCCAAAGAGCGTGTAATACGCTTCAAATACAGCTCGCCTCGACTCAGGGGTCCGCTGCACGCCCCAGAAAAGTGTGTAGAAGAACACAGGGTTGAGTCGCGCAACATGAAACGAAAATGTGCTGCAACGCGCCCTCTTTTTTCTCAGTGTAGGACTTAAATTAAGGACACAATTTTGCCGACCAACAATCCTTGATAATCAAGAATAAGCAAATCAATCATCTTTCCTTCACACAAGTCAAGAAGAATAGACAGGTTTTGATAAACTTACTGGTATTCTCTTTCTTATGACACTGCAAGCGCTGGTAAAATGCAAGAGGTACTTCTTGATATTGATCAATAAAGCGCACTATTTAATGACACTACAATGGATTATTTATTAACAATTAAAAGAATACAATTCTGTAAATGCAGATAACTAAGTTTTAGGTTCGCTGTTACATCAAAGAGGTTCGCACCAATCTGCCGTGTAAATTGCGCCAGAAGCAACATGTGCTTCTGTCGTCTGCTAATGTAGCGGCGTGCGCGACGCCTAGTGTCAGGATTTGTCACGTTGCGTTGGCGCGAATTTAAATTAAATTAAAATTCTTAATATTAACATAATTTTAATAATAACGTGAGTAATGGCAACGGTGAAAGATGAGAAAATTAATACGAGTGTTACAACGTCCAGTTCCGTCAGCAGAGAGGTCAGTCTAGATCATGATCGGGAATTGGTTCCTCCAAATGAAAACACCGAAACAGTTTCCGAAGGGGAAAAAGGTCTCGATGACAGAAACGAATTGTCGAAAACGTGACAGGACAATTTAACAACATTCCCAACGAATGACCCTCCTTTAGAGGAAACCCGTATACCTGAAGAGCAGGTAATAATTAATGATGACGTCTTAAAACAAATCGGTCCCAGAATTTATTGTCGAGAAAATTTTTTCAGAATTAATCTGTATTCACATAGCTACCTGCTGGGACGATATAATAAAACAGGGTCTACCAAAGGAGAAATTTGAGACTATGTTCAAAAAATACCCTCCTATTAGATATTTTACTTTTATTGATCCTCCAAAATTGAATCCCGAAATCGTGACAATTTTAAAACCGAAACAAGAAACAGTCATCAAGAGAGACGAACGTATCACTGAAAAACAGCAAAAGCTGGGCACTGATTTTAGAGCAGTAGGGAAGGCTTTCAGTGAAGTTCTCAAAACGGTATAACCTGTCAATAACTCTTTTAATAATTATAAAATGATTTTTAATTGACTTTAAATCGAGCTAGGGACCACTCGACTACTGACAGGAAATAAAGGCGATCTTGGTAATTAAATACGAGCACCTGGCTTTAGAAATTAATAATTTGCCATATTTATGTAATTTTATTTTACCCGGCCAAGTGGATTCGTAGGATGACTTTTATTAAATAAATAAACACAAAGTAAAATTTAACATCACACACAAATCGATTTATTCTAATAAGAAAAGAGCAATAATTCAGATTAGCAAAATAGAAAATAATGAAGTTTCAATAATTACAGTATATTCAAGCATCCAAGAGTCTTTATATTTAATTTAGCTTTAACAAAATTCTTTTTATGACACTTTGACTTACCGACATTCCAATTTATTTCCGGCGAGTCTTCTCTAATTTTGTGTACTCAATTTTAATATCTTTAATATTTTTATTATTCCTTTTAGAGAATTATTACAAATAATACAAAAGCATTCCTCCAATTCTTTTTTTTGGTTTGCAAAAAGAAATTATGAAATGAACGATAGTTTTAATTAGATAGGTATTTATTTCTAGAAATTATTTAACGCCTTTGTAGGCGAGGAACAGTAAAAGTAGTAGTCAGGTACAATATTGTCATGTATAACGCGTTTATTACTAAAATAAATTAAAGTGCCTCTTATGGCTAAAAATAAAAGAATTAATATTTTAAAGAAACAAATAATTATTTGTCAAGAAAAGTAAGGAAAATAAAAGGAAAGCCTTTTTTGGCATAAAAACTACGTTATAACGTGCAAAAAAAATATGTACTCTATGACAAAATAAGAAATAATAATAACAATAATGAATTTCAAAGAAGAACTTTAGTCCAGGGCGAGTAAATCCATTTCGTCGGGGAGTTCGTTATTATATTCCGACTCTAGGCGGTTCCACTCTGTGACGTCGTGGTTTATTCGCCATCTTCTTTTTAAATTTTCCTTTTGGCATTGTATTGCTCACTGCTGTCTCTCTCGCACCTGACGACCTGCCTGATGGAATCGGTTTAACTTCCACCAGCCAGGGGCTCTGGTGGTGGTGTTACGGCCGCCTCGGGGTGTGGTGGTTCGGGAGACGGAATTTCAGGGAACTCTAAACCATCGGATCTTAGAACTTCGGCGATTGACTGTACCGGCTATTCGAAAAGTTGAGAGTTCTCCGGTATGTAAACCGTATGGCTGTTCCCGTTGCCTCGGGAAAAACTGAGCCTGTGATATTGGCCCCAGAGGTTGCCGATAGGCATTCCGTGGTTACTGAAGTAAAATACTTCGGGCCAAGGTCCAAATATTGCGTATGGGTAGACGAGTTTTAGTCTGCCGTTTACTGGCATGACTTCGGGCTGATAATCATTGAAATCAATATTCGCCTAAAATAAAAGGAAAATATTTAGGGTTCAGTATTAAATGGTTTCAAATCTTTACCGTGAATTGATAAGGGTTGTACTTTTCCACTGCCGTCCGCGAGTTCGTACACATTTTCGGATATTATTTTCGAAATGGTGAAGATTTCGGGATTATAAGTAGGCAATAAGGATGCTGTAACTCCTTTTTGTGCCGAGGATAGCGTTCTATCTTTTTGGAAGACTATATCGCCAATTTTGAATAAGTAAGGACGTCGCCGTAAGTTGTAATGGAGGGCTTGTTTGCGTTGGGACTTTCCGAGATGTAATTTAACAAGGTCGCGTACGGATTCGCGTAGGGTCATTCGCTCTTTTCAGGCGTCGAAATTCCTGGAGGTTGAAGGTTGCTCTAACTCACTTGTTCATGACGCTAATACCGTACCCGATGGTGGGGGGTCTCTGCCTAAGTTTAAGAAGGCCGGGGAGGTCTGAATAGAGGAGTGTTGGGTTGTATTAAAGGCGAAACGAAAGTCCGCCAAATACTCGTCCCACTTCCGCTGTGTCGTTTTAATATAAGAACGTAAATCGCTTTCATGACTCTATTTACCCTCAGGCGAACCCCGTGGAGAGCCACGGGGTTCGCCTGGGGGTGGTATTTAGGTGTTTTACTAATTCGAATTTTGTAGGCTGCACAAAGCCCTTCTACGGCTTTATTTGAAAACTCGGTACCGTTATCAGAGAACAAAAAGGAAGGGGTGCCCCAGCGGTTAATCACAACGTCCTTGAAAGCTTTAGTGATAGCCGGACCAGTGGCTTTACGTAGGGGAACTACCTTTATCCAGCGCGTGAAAAAGTCTTGGAAAATTAGAATGTATTGGTGTTGAGACGAAGAGGGGGTTATAGGGTCCCATTATGTCAGCGCCAACCATATACCAAGGTTGTTCAATTACGCGGTGGCCCATTTTACCGATGGGTTTCTTAGTTTCTACTTTACAGGTCTGGCATATTTCGCAAAGTTTGACATATTTAACTATATCGCGATAGTATCCCGGCCAGTAATAGCGGAGTTAAACACGGTGGAAGGTGCGTTCTACACCTTGATGTCCGGCTTGAGGCTCCTCATGGGCTTCTTTTAGGACTTTTTCCTCTTTTAGGACTTTCGGGTGAAGTTCTCTTGGAAGTACGAGTTTCCAAGTATTTAGGTCGTCAATAGTTAAGTCTATTATTTTATTAGTAATGTGATGATTAACAAAAATATTGTGTACAGAAATAGCAGACGGCACTGGAAAGTTTTACAAGGAACATTGCATGCAAATAATAGAAATTGAAATATGCAGTGAACAATTTTAGAAAAATTTGAACTGTGTGTTTTTCCCTAAGTCATCCACTTATTGTTGGGCGCCATTTATAACCTGTCAAAACTCTTTTAATAATTATATAAAATGATTTTTAATTGACTTTAAATCGAGCTAGGGACCACTCGACTACTGACAGGAAATAAAGACGATCTTGGTAATTAAATACGAGCACCTGGCTTTAGAAATTAATTATTTGCCATATTTATGTAATTTTATTTTACCCGGCCAAGTGGATTCGTAGGATGACTTTTATTGAATAAATAATCACAAAGTAAAATTTAACATTACACACAAATCGATTTATTCTAATAAGAAAAGAGCAA